TTGGAGGTTATGAAACGCACTGTTTATTTAATATTTTAGACGTTGGAGTTTGTGAAATTTGGACATTATGAACCTCACCCAGTTCAAGCTGAGACTTATATTATACTTTTAGAACGATGGAGATTCTGAGGATTCATTTTCATATATATAAAATAGTCTTGAGGGACTATTATGTAGCGAGAAATATAGTTTGTAAAAGAAGAGAGTTTATAAAAAATTGGGTAGTATTTATTATAGTTGAATATAGTTGAACGTTTCCATCATCTGACCAGGCTGCACAATTGGTGCAACAGCTGTTTCGGCGATCGCGTAAAGGTAGTGTAAACGATACGAGTAGAAAATGTTAAATACAAGCCTTGGTGAGTGCCTTAAAAACTTCTACGAGTGTCGTTAACACTATTTACGCGAGTTGTGTGCATTAATTAACCTGCAACAGTATTTTAATTACCAAAAACCACTACTCAAAACTTAAAAAGAGAGGTTATTTTTTCTTTACCCCTCATTGTCTCTGACAGTAATGCAACGAATCATCGCACCAATCGTTAACAATTAAATTGACCTGAACAGCTGAAGTTATAGTTGAAGTTCGAAGCATTATAATTTTACTTCTTATCTCTCAATCCTTGACCCTATCTGGGTACCAGTGGTGGTTATATTTTGGCCCTTTTTGTAGTGGTACCATATAATTCACCAGAGAACAGTTACATGCCCATATAAGTAGATATCTATTATATATTATGTTTCAGTGATAAATGTAGAATATAAAAATATATATTTTTCAGCAATGCTTTTAGGCGTAGTAGCAAGAGGTTTGCAATTTTTTGGATTATTCAACTTAGAAATGTTTAAATCAACCCGCAAAAATCATAAAAATAATGTTTTTATCCATATTATCCAAATGTTAAGGTTGTGTAAAATATGATTCCTTACGTAGAAATAGCAATGTTTTTTTTAATACGCATAAAAATAAAATTATAAAAAACTACCAAACTACTTTATTTACCAAATTGTATTTAATTGTTGTATAAGAAATAAATTTATTGCATCAACAGTAAATAAATATTATACTGCTGTAACAATTTAGTATTTTCACAAAAATTTTCAATAGAATATAATTTAATTTTTACCATATGTTTTTACTTTTATCAATATGTCAATCCATCTCTCTTTATCAAACCTTGTATAATATATGGCCAAACAGACCAATAGGTAATTGATTCAATACATTATAATATAGAACATTTTCAAATAACCTTATTTAATGTAAATATATAATAACCTATAACTTTTTGTAACAAAGTTGCTTCAATTTCAATATAATTTTACTTAAATAACTTGTCAAAATTCAAATTTAGCTCTATGGCAAATGAAAATTGTTATAATATATGTGTGAACATTGGCCTACAATTTTCCGTGATAAAGTCAGCATTGACATATGTGAATGCAACAATGCATCAAACCTTCCTCACTTCTAAGAGTGCTGAGCTAGTATGAAGATATAAATTGTAAACTGCATATTTTAATATAAATTTTTTTTTAAGTGCATATATTTGGAATAAATTAGTGAAATTTGATTAAAGAAGATCCGTCCTTGTTACAAATATTAATAACTACACAACATCAAGAAATTTAACTGTGAAGAAGACGTCAATTTTGGTGAGATCACTCCAGTAGACATTTTCTTTCCTTGGATCGAAGCCATTACAACACTTTTAAGCCTAACTTTTGAACTTTTGTACCATAATTTAAAAGTCAAGAAACTAATAGAAGCTTATATATAACATAAATTAATTAACCTTTCAGAAAATAATTCGAACATAATTTATATTTCAAAACAAAATTTAATTAGGCTATATATAATCACAAAATTAAATTCAAACGCCGCTCGATCACCCCACCTGAGATAAAGATTCATGCAATATAACCCCTCAACCTAAATTAGAACTATTGTAATAGGCCTAGCCTAAAGCTTAATTTAGTAAATTAATTTGCACCCTTTGTAAACTTTTATTGTGAACCCTTAGTTTCTTTTCTTTTACAATCAATTTTGTATTGTAATTAAATAAATTTAAGTTTAGATACTGTACATGGAGTTTCCATTGTATTCCTAGCTTGTATTTGTAGCCTTGTTACACTGCATAATTTAAGAGTAAAAGCTCTTTCTAAAAATGTATAGTTAAATGTTGTTGAAATCGAAATTTCCTGAGTAATTTACGTCAGAATGTGAAATGTTAACATTCTTTTACGAAAACATAATTTTATCACCTTTTCAAAACTACATAAAATTGTTATAACCAACCTCAGATTCGGAGATATATAAATTGTAGGGAATTTATTGCAGTTTCAGATGGTGATGGAAACGATCCACCACCAAAATATATTTTGAACTCTCTTCTTTTACAAACCATATTTCCCGCTACATAATAGTCGCTCAATACTATTTTATATATATAGATATGCAAATGAATCCTCAGAATCTCCATCATTCTAAAAGTATAATATAAGTCTCAGCTTGAACTGTACTCGCCATTACTAGTTACGGCAGCAGGAACAATGACCGCGACGCGTTTTGCGCCTTTGTTTGTGTTATGTTTATTGGATCTGAGGATTGTATAGCTGTTAAGTTATGTACCGCAATAGTTTCATTATACAGAAGTACTATTTACCTATAGTGTACTACTCTCAAAAGTTGTCAATTTAAAAATTAATGGTTCTAAACAACAACAAAAACCATTATACTCCTGATTATACTTATCGTAAATTTAAAAAATATAATTTTTAGTAACTTCTTGTCAATTTCTGTGAAACTACTACATAATCTATTTGTAGAATGCATTTTTCTGCACAGTTTGAGGTGTCTAACGTATTCATATGACTTTTGGTTCTCGAGATATAAGCTATTTTGTGCGCGGCGGCCCCCCGGGCGGCCCCCCAACTTCACCCCCTTCCCCCCCATGTTATTAACCACCTAGAAATGCGACAACATCGATTTTCTTCATCTACTAGGTACCCATAGCAACAATCAAAAGTCAAATTTCGTTACACTTTTATGCATGCTCAAACCCCCTCAGCGCCTGGACTATTTTAATTGTTTTCAAGCGTTGAAAACAAATTTTAGCGTTGAACGTCGTTGGCTCCATAGAGTTATATTTTTAAGGTGTGTACTCAATGTTATTTTCCTACAGTTACCTAACAATGTACATGTTCTCTCACTGATTTGAGAAAGCAAAGTGGCCAATCGCTCATCAGTGAGACAATGTTAACATTGTCTCACTCTAATTACTTTGTCTCACTCCAGATTTGTAACGTGAAGGCACGATGAAATAGTGAGCGAGCGCGTAACATGCAGACAACTTAGACGTCGTATGCGCGCGAAATACGTTGGCAGCACTGGCTGTAAATAAGCTGGTCAGCCAGCTGTTGTACTGTCGTATCATTAAAAAATGTCATATTAAAAGTTCACTTCTGTGTTAAAATATGTTACGCTTCTTTACCAATTTATTTGTTTTATGGTAACTGTAGGAAAAATATAATGTGCAACTCGAGTGCAAAGTGAAATTGCCTCACTAGTTGCACAAATAACTATTAAATGGGTTTAATTAGGGCCTACCTCACCGAGTGAGTTTTTGAAACTTTACATCACACGTGAAGTAAAGAAGTTTACATCACACTTGGGATAGGGAAGTTTAACATGGCGGGTTAGGTAAAAAAAGAAACATGATGTACCTACATACGTACAATTTCCATTAACTTATATTATAAAATACAGTCTAATAAAACAAATGGGTAATAACATGTATATAATAACTTTGCTCATGCTCAAGTATCGAAGCATCGGTGTTATTTGCAAAAATTTGTGTCATTTAACAACCTGCCATTTGTGAATTTAACCTTAATTTGATTTTTTTTCTTTGTCTTGTCAGCAAGTTTGGTTGGTTAATGGTTAGCCTAGCCTAGGTTAGGTTATGGTTATGACAGTAACTAACTGCCGGCCGCCTAATCCACGTCCGGTTACCGGACACGTATCTTCTGCCTTGGACGTGTACACTTTGCAGTTAATATGGGGAAAATAAAACAAAATAAAGCAACAGAAATATTTTTTTACAAAAATATTTGTATATAGCTTTAATAAATAACTTAGTACAAGGAGACAGCTCATGGTTTGACTGAAGATAGGTTATCTGTGACCTAAAAGTTGATCTGTGGGTAACATTTTTCTGTAAGAAACTAAGTTTATTTTCCAACTAACCTATATGCATAATGCATAGTTGCGGATTCTATTACTGAGATACAAACTGGAAAATAGTTTAGGAAACATTTCAGAATTTTGAATAACAAAACAAAGTACAGCTTAACATACTAACTTATGTCACTTAACTAACAATACATTTTAGGCGCTAGACTAAATGGTGATTTAAACTTTATCACAAACACACAAACTAATATGTTGAGGTAAAATTTCCTCTCTTTTTGTTAACATTCATTTGATTATGCTAAAACTATTTTCTATTATAGGATTCATAAATCACATAAGAGAGAATATTCGCTCAAACTTAAACTACTGTATGCAAACCACAAGATAATCCATAACCCTAGCCTGCCTTAGTTTTAACGTGGTTTTAGGTTCTAACACGTAGTATCAGCATTATTCAAGATGCACTGTAATTGGAAATTTAAATTTTAACTGAAAAAAAATACAGTACATTGTAAATGGATATTATATAAGTTATACTACTGTAAAGCAGTAATTTTGCTCCAAATTGGCAAACAAAAATAGCTTTTCTTTCTAATTTTTACCTAATTTGGGAAAATTACATATGTTGTCAAGGAACAGAAATCCCTTTAAGACTTTAATACAACTTAAATGTGATATTATGCAATTTACAGCAAGACAAAAATAATGATTCAGCCCCTGTTAGATAAAAGACACAGCCACAGGACGTACATCCATTTAAACCTTGTCCTGTGGCTGTGCCTATTATCTAAGAAACCATTGTGGCTGTGTCTTTTATCTAAGAAACCATCTTGCGGCTTGACAGTGAGTTAAACACAATATTAAACTACGGTCTTAGTTATACACAAAGAAAATAGTTTTTAAAACCTACAAAAAATATAAAAAATAATAGACTTTTAAAGGTAGAGATGATTAAAACCCAGTGGTAATCAAGCTCCTATTAACAACTTAAAGATATATTTCAGCATATTTCCTCTCAAACTTCTGTTAATGTTTTCTCAAGAAAACATTCTCAACCACCAAAACAGCAGCATTGTTATTCTTCTGGCAAGGAGCAATTGACTGAACCCTCGCTCAGGAGCGATTTGACATACTGATCCAGCCACATTGAGAAGTTTTTTAATGTCAGTGTAATCTGAAAGATAAAATATAACAATCAAACTGCACATACAGTTTAACACACACAGTAAACCGTTTCAAATCATAAAAAAATGTGATCAACACATTGCTTAAAAAAAATATTTTTATATTTTCTTACTTGTTCAGTAATTGTGAAATTAGAACTATCAGCCCCAAGCATTGATGGAGGTGGGGACATTAGTGAAGTACCATAGAGTGCTGCAATAGACTCTTCATATAGGAACACTACCAACACAACATCATCGTAGGTCACAATGGTACGCAAACACAGGCGAGCGTGAGCTTCTGCTAGAGCGGTCCTGAAGAGAAAAGAATCATTATGGTTTGATCTGAGAATAAAATTAATAAGATTAATGGTACGACCATCTAATGACAGAAATTGTGAGCGTTCATGTTTTATTCTCTCTCTTTGTTTATGACAATAATTGGTTAATAGAACAAAAGCATGGAGTGATTTATAAAACTGCAAAAGTATTTAGTTAAAATTGCCTTTATTTGTGGCTAAAAAAAGAAGCACTTTACGATGGTTGCAAGATTTTTACTTCATATCAGTAGTGTTAACTTTTTATCCAAGGAGAAATACTTTGATTAATGCATGGACAACTTAATGAGTACACCTTCAACAGATTATTTTGCAAGCTCATTTTAGCAGCTCTCATCACTGCTAAATATCTTAGTTTTCACAATAAATATCAAACTTGGTTTCCCATTCTTAGAAAAAATCCAAAGTTAATATTGTATAATTGTAAGTTAATTAGATTAAAATTCCCCGTATGAAGGACGGGTACTCTGCTAGTAAGGTAATAAATTAAAAAGAATAACATACAAATAAGTACAGCTGAGGTATTTTTAACATTAGGTATATGAAAGTTCCCTTTGGAAAGCAATTTGGAAGGGCAATTTATGAAATAATGGATAGTTTGGCGCAAGGTTTCTCGTCATGACGAACATTTTAAGTACATGGTTATGGTTTATGGGGGTGTGACTTGTAGTTTTCTCAAAAATTCATGGGTACTTTGGGCTTTATATATGGATTTAGAATACTAAAGGGCTTATAGAAAAAACTTACAGTGTTTTTAGAGCATTTAAAGGTAAACAATCAGGGCGCTCTCTTCGGCTGGCTACAAAGTAGTTTCTTAACAGCTTCTTTGCTTGTGGTGTTAGTTGAACTTTGTACGAACATACAATGTTGAGGTACTGAAAGATAAAATGAAATGGAAATGACATCAAATGTTTAAACAACTAGTTTATTCATCCGTGTCTTGTAAATGTTTTATGAATTTTTAAAGCTATGATGTGACTATCCAAGTGATTCTTTAATCATTCAAGTTATATGTGCGATCTGATGATGATGTGTTAACATTGACACATTTGTTCATCCTACAAATAGAATAGTCACAACTCACAAGGCAATGTAAAAGGTACCGGCAATGAACCTCTTCACAATTTTGTCATGTAGATTTGCCAATTTTCAGTCAGATATCTTTAAAATGTCAATATAAATAATAAGTAACTATAGTGGCTTGAAAATCAAACTCCAGAAATGCTATCCCAATATGACTGTGTTGAAAATATGTAGCAAATCTTAGAAAGTTTTATGAAGTTGCAGATTTAAGAAGTAATTTTACATTGTACAAACCCTCAAATAAGGTCTGCCACTAATCTATCTTTCTCACTTATGTTATCCTTCACCTTTTAAGTCTATGATTTCAGTGGGTAATCAGTAATTTAACTTATAATCACATTGTGGTATTCTTTGTTAGCATAAGAATAAGAATAAATAAAAGAATAAGAATAAATAAAATAGTTTGACAGTATATTTTTGTGTCTCGATAACTAATACAAGCAAGGGACATTAAAAACAAGGCAGGGATGAATAATACACTAACTTCTATTGGATCCTTTCCGAGTACCTAGGCCTACTTTTTTCTCCACATGCGAGAGATTTATCGCTGTAGGTACATAAAAATAATGGGACATAAGATTGATTTCCAAAAGTCACTTAAAACCTTTTCCAAAGTAACCGTCGATTTCAACGGGTTTTACCTAGTGTATATATTTATATTAATTGAATTAATATATTCTAGTTTAGGTTAGGTTTTGTTCATAAGGTTTGAGAAGATTTATATAGCCTAAGTAACTTAGATTAATTTAATAATTGACAAACCTCCTTAAGGTCCTGTTCTGGTATCGCACCTTCCACCTTACTTGTTCTGGTCTGCATGCTTTCATAGAGAAGATGGTCAGCGACCACTTCAATATCCGCCCCTCCGTCACCAATAAATGGCATTCCAAAAACTCTGGAAATAATTAGAACAGGAAATTTATAAATGATTAATAACTTCAATAAGATCTTAAATTTTGTGCTCAGTAAAATATAAAGACAGCTTTTCTCGCCTCAGACCTTTTTGCTTTATTGTTCTAAATATAGTGAAAGCCCTACAATTCCAAGTCTGAATAAAACGAAGATACAGGGGCAAGTTTAAGGGAGGGCTTCCCCAAGAATAATGAATAGATTTCAAAAAGAACATAAGTACTAATCTGAATTATTTTAATTAATCACGCATGACATACAGTGATACTTTTCGTATTAACCTCTGAATATGAGCAGCAAAAATGAAATAAAGTATAATGACCACTTAACATTACTTAACCCTACCTCATATAAATTTTGCCCCCCCCCCCCAAAAAAAAAATTATATTAGCCTATATATTCTCCACTGCTTAGACAGGATGTGTAACAGAAAGTTAATTACAATTGCACCAGGATTATTACTCTCAAATGTTTTAGGGGCAGTTTAAATTATGGTCATTGAATTTACCACTGTTCTTTTTCAGGAAGTTGTCATGTAAAATTCTAGGGGGGGAATAAACTAGTATTCACAAAGTCAGGCCTAGCCTGATATTCACCTGTTGAGCCGGTCCAGTTTTCATTCATTGTCTGTCAACAAACATCAGTGTTGAGGTTATGTTATGTTGTCGTCGGCGTTAAATATTCGTAAAATCGGTTGGTTTAACTTTATTTGATGAATTGGAGTTCTAGTATTAATAAATATGTCGTGTGAGTGTGTGTTGTATAGTTCACTGTGTTTAAAACTAGGCCTACGTTCTTTGGCCCAAAGCCAAGCTATGGCCAACATATAGGCCTAAGGGTATAGGCTATTGTGGATGAAAAACGGGTATGTTCCGGTGTTTATTTATTCACAGTAGGTTTTACCCCCCTTAAAATTTGGTACCTCACAAAGTAAATATTCTCACATCATGATCAATATACAGAACCACACAATCAGCGGCACCAAGAAAATGTTGATATTAGCATGTTGGACAATAGAGATAAAGGTGACACATTTAAAGGTTTCTTCAGAGATTTTATCCATACTATCTCCTATAAATCATTTGATCCTAAAAAAGTCCTAACAAGTGCAATTGTATACATACAAACAAACAACTGATACCAATATTAGCTCCCAAATATAAGTCTACAGTCATTTTAAGGGTTACTAACATCGGTAGTTGTACACACAGCATATTTTAAAAATATTTTGAACAATATCAATGATCAGGGAACAGCTCCATGAGTCTGGTGACAAGTAAATGCCTTCTAAGTGGATTTTGAATGTTTGATGACATTTTATATAAAAGATCATACTCAATAAGTGTACGCAGCTGAGCTTGGGCGCAGGAGGTCGCTTTGTCTCCAGACCAGAATGTCCAGACAGCCGCCTGGAAGGGGAGGGAGGGGGGAGAACTGACCAGAGGTTCTGATGGTGGCACCAGGTCCACTCGACCACTCTCTAGCACTAGAGACAAGCAAAGTACATAAGTCATATGATGATGAAGCACACTTAGTCCAGTCAATGACCATTTTCCCGTGTATTTATCCCATACAGCACCGAGTTTTATAAAAATTGGAATATAGGTCCAGCTTGTCCTCTATTTAAAAGTCCACCCTGTGCCAGGGGTTGCTTTTACCCTAGGTGGTGTTGCCACCCCTTCTCGACCTCTTGGGGGTGAAAGAGTAATCAGGTGACAACCAAATAAACAATCTATTAATATCACAAATGCAGACTTCAGGACATCTCCCACTTAAACTTCTTCTATGAATGTGTTCTTGGTAGGTTTAACAATTCTGGTAGGCAGTGGCGTAGCCAAGGGGGGGGGGTTGGGGGTCATAACTCCTGATAACAAGTCGGCAGTTGGCAATTGTTTTCCTGGTACCCGTCGTACGAATATCTCATTAATCTAATTTTAAATCTCTGAACTCTTAGTGGCAGTTCATCCAAACCCTTACTACTTAAAAGAGGAATCAGAGGTTTGTGATCAGTCTGAATTTGAAACTTCAATCCTGTTATAGAAATGTTTAAAACGTTCACATGCCCAAACTATTGCATGAGCCTCCTTTTCTATTTGTTTGAACCATATTTGCGTATTATTTCTATTTAAAAGTAGGTATACATAGAGAAAAACTCAATTTTGCACTCTGAAACAAAGCTTTTAACGAAGTTTAAATTTTATATCTCCCTAAGTATTGGTTTTAGAAAAATGTTATAAATATAAAAGTTGTAGGAAAATTAATAAAAATAAAACAAAACAAATTTGAGCTCAATAGCTTACATGGCATTCAAATTATGATCAATTAAGTAAAACACTGCAATTTATAGGTTTGGAGGGGGGTGGGGGGGGGGGGAAGCTCAAGGGGTAGAAGTGGGGACTTTTGGGAAAATACACCTCTCAAGTGGTTCTATCACACATAAAAAATCGAGCTTTCCACCATTTAGTTGCGATAAAAAACATTTATTGACTGGGCTATATGTGTTTAGGATATGTTTGAATCATTCCAGAAGAAATAATGTGACCTAAGAATGAAATCTGTGTTTTTCCTATCTCACACTTGTCATTTAAGGTAACTCCTTCGTTTTCCAATTCTTGTAACACTCTGCCAAGTCTGCTGTCATGTTACTTGGATACTTGGATACTTGGAGAATTCCCACTGGTATCGCATCAGCGACGTGGTCGTCAGGTTTTTATACATTTCTTCATATTTATTTATATAGATGGATTCATTTCCTCTTCAAGATTGTACATGGCCTAGACATATATCTCATCAACACTGTAGTAGGCCACTTGACTTAAGAATGTTTTTAGCAGGTTCTTGAATTTGCTGACAGAGGGCTCTTGTGTGATGTACTGGGGCAATTTATTGTAAATTTTTATACTGTTGAAGTAAGGGCTCTTGCTTGCAAGGGTGGAATTTACTTGAGGTACATGTGGATTTGTTGCTCTTCTTGTATTGTAATTGTGGACCATGCTGTTTGTTACAAAAATATTGGGGTTCTTCTTAACAAGCAATGCGGATTCCAATATAAAGAGGGACGGAAGTGTGAGGATGTTCAGTTCTTGGAACAAAGGTTTACAGTGTGTCCGTCTATGGACTCCACATATTCTTCTAATTGCACGCTTTTGAAGGATGAAGATGCGTTTTGCCTCACTACAACCACCCCAAAATACCAAACCATATGAGATTATGCTATGAAAACAGCCATAATAAACCTTAAGGAGAATCTCGATGTCAACCAGCTTTTGAAGTCTAAACAGCAGGTAGGTGACAGATGACAGTCTGGGCGCTATTGCATCGACATGTGTTCCCCAATTAAGGTTCTCCGTAATGTGTAAGCCCAAGTATTTGGTTTCACTACAGGTTTCAAGTAGCACCCCGTCCAAGGTCAATATCGGAGGTGGTTCAGGCTTCTTCCTGTTATAAAATTCCATTAATTTAGTTTTACTAGAATTAAGGACCAGATGATTTTCGCTACACCAAGTTGACATTTCAAGCAAGCCAGTTTGGGCGTTTTCAATCGTGATGTTCCGATTTGGGCTTGGGACTAGGTGACATGCGTTATCGGCAAAAAGCCATAAATTTCCAGATGATATGGAGCCAGGCAAGTCATTCACGTATAACAGGAATAGGATGGGCCCAAGGTTTGATCCCTGGGGGACACCGATGTTCAGAGCTGGTGATGGAGACGATTTATATGTCCGAAGGATGTTGTCAGGGCCTCTGTGTTTCAAGGATACAATCATGTGCCGATCTTTAAGATACGATGAAATCCATCGCAGTGGGTTTCCAGAAATGCCAAGCATTCGCAGCTTATCCAGAAGGATCCTGTGGTCAAGAAGATCAAAAGCCTTTGTCATGTCGTAAAAGAGACATAGTAAGCTGTCAGATATGTCAAGGTGGTTATATACTTCCTTTAAAAGGGCAAAAATGGCATCACAGGTAGACATGTTTTTTCTGAACCCAAATTGGTTATTTGACAAGATGTTATTTGTTTCAATAAAACTTAGCAATCTTTTAAGAAAAATAATCTCAAAGATTTTACCAAAACAAGGCTGGACAGAAATGGGCCGGTAGTTACTTGCGTTAAGAGGATCATTTTTCTTAAATACAGGGACAACCTTTGAAGTCTTCAACGAATCAGGAAAGCAACCAGTTTCAAACGACTTGTTAATAGCGCAGGCCAATGCTTCAAAGATGTTTTCATTGCAAAGTTTGAGAAGGCTGCATGGGACTTCATCAATGCCAGAACTTATTTTTGATCCTATTAATAAGACGACTTCACGAACCTCAGACGCAGAAGTGGGAGACAGTACAAAGCGACTCGCTTCGAGATCAGTGGGCAACACAGGGGCTACATTATCTTTAGCCAACGTACATATTTCCTGGTGAAAAGATTTACAGAAATAGTCTACTATTGTCTGAGGATTTTTGACTTCCACGGGTTTACTTCGGGTTTACTTTCTCCGGTAATTACTATCATCCATATAACAAAACTCCTGGAATGTCTCCTTTCTCCAATAATACTTTGCATCCTGTTTCAAAATATTTCTGGGGCTGTTGAAATTCCAAAAGGAAGTTTTTTAAAACAACATCTACCAAATGGGGTTATAAATGTTGTCAATTTTGAGAAACCATCATCTAACGGTATTTGCCAAAATCCTGAATCAGCATCTAATTTTGAATACCATTTGGAATTCCCTAGACAACCAAGTAAGTCCTCAACAGTATTAATAACGTTATTTTCTCTATGTAATTAGTTATACAAAGCAGAAGGATAAATGCATATTCTTAAACTACCATTAGGTTTAGATCTTACCATCATTGGATGACAAAATTCCGTATAGGTCAACAAACTTCTTCAATGGTTCCCGCTTCAACCAGTCATTTAATATATAATAGGTTACGTACCTTGGTCCGTCTTCAGTCTTATTTTTAGTCAATGGATGACTAGTTACGGGTACAAAGACCCATTGTCAAATCCCTTTTCAAAACATCATGTAGAAACTGGTCAAAAATCCGACGGAAGTCTTCATCATTATATAAATACAGGTTAACACATAAAGTTTATTATTTAAAAAACACAAGTTACGGAACATATAAGACTATTGATAGGCCGGCCACATTTAACACGGGACAAACCGATGCAGGTTACACGGCGGACAAGACAGAACTCATTTAAGTTCATTTTTCACTTTGTCTCTTAATGGAATAGGTATGTTTCTAGGTGTTTTTAACCCCATCGGCACCACATTTTGTTTTAGTTTAAGTTGAGCTCCTGTCTTCATCTTACCAATCCCATTAAATAATCTTGGATATTTTTATTCATGATGGCTGTAGCTCTGTATTGATATCTGGATGTCATTTTTAACTCCTCTGATAACCCTTAAGAACCCTAAGGCTGAGATGCATGGTTTCCCAATCAATGCTTCCTCTTTACCATTAATTCTATTTATATCGTTTGACGAGTTGTTTTAATCTTATACTGAATACTGAATTACACCTTCAAATTTACCTAAAACTGTTAAATACTTCCCACCAGGGGTTTTTAAAACAATGTTTGATTTAGTCAATATATAATTTTTTTCTAGCCATTCTTGGGGGCACAATCGTTACATCTGCTCCACTGTCAATCTTGAAGTGTTCCAATTTCCCATCAAGTTTTACATCAAATTTATTTCAAATTCTTTCTGTTTATTGTAGTTCCTTGTTGTCGCTCTTATTTTCTTAACTTCAGCTCTATTAATGTGATACCCGTCCTCACTTCTATTATCCTGTTTCGATCTGTTCTCAGTAATTTCTTGAATTTGATTCAGTTTTGGTTTTCTGTATTTATTGTTCTGTCTCTTTTTACAACATTGGCTGAAGTGTCCTTGCAATCCTAGCACTCAATATTCTGAGCAGGACATTCTTTCTTAGGATGTCTCTGTCCTCCACAGTAAAAATAATTAGAAGTTTTTTTTTGTCTTCTGTTTCTGGTTTTGTTGAATTTTGCTCTCTCATAGGTAAGATTTACCCTTAGTGTAAAATACTTAGCAAGTCTATTAATCTTCTTCAGTTACTCCTGCTGCTATTAATACATTTTCTGCATTATATCCCATGGATATTATTAGAAAATTGACTTGTTTCTCTCCATCTATTTGATCTAAATTGGTAGGCTTTCTGTGTCTAATAAACTTTTTTCAACCATGGGCCCCAATCTTCTGGTTTAAAGGAGTACTAGTGCACATGTTGCTCGAATTCGAGCAATTGCAAAGTAATAAAGGAGTTATTTCAAAACAAATAACAGTCATATTTAAAATGAGTTTAAAAGAGTCAACTCAAAGATTATCAGCGTGTAACAAAAAAAGATATTCACGATTTATATAACAGTTATCAACGTTTCCTCGTTTCCTGTAAATATTGCATCATATTTCATACCCTGGAGTTGCTTTTTAATGTTTTCTACAATCATTTCCTGACTTATAGCACAGAAAACATACTAATGTTTTCTGTGCAAATAGCCATATAAGGTTGTCCATGTTTATCTTTGTTATTGATAAACCTAAAGCATTCCGGCCGGTTTCCTCCTTCTCAAAATGCCTCGCTGTACAGGCAACACAGCTCATTGATAGGGGACCAATTGAGAACGAAAAGTAGTTTTGGGGCGCATTTGTAACCTAATAGTTGAGATTGTCCAGGGTCAGGTGCTGACTGTGATGAGTTAAGCCTTTTACCTGCCACTGTTCTGTAGCTTATCACGAGTACGCCTCCTGTCTATGTTTCGTTGTCGTCGCGTCGGTGGCATTTAAAAAAGGGAAAAAAAACAACAAATAAACAAATTATAGCTACACCAAACAATGATAAATGGACAAATTTAAGTTACAATCATGCTAACACGATCCTTCATAGCGACACAAAAAAAACAACGATAAATACACAAATTTAAGATACAACCATACTAACACGATCCGTCTTGGGGGTTATGTTTACACAGACTCAAATAGTAAATAAATGAACTCAATGCGTTTCATTGAATTGAAAAATAAATAACAGCAATTAAATTATACAGCTGATCAAAATGTAAACAATTATGTTCTTCATAAGGATAACATGGGAACTTTCAAAGCCACTGGGGCAGAGCTCAAGGGTCTTTTTAAAAAATGTAAGGCCAGTTTGCAAATCTACTCGACAAGCTCTTTTCAATGAGACGTCAATGGATAAAATCGGTTAAGAAATGGCGGAGGAGTTCAACCGACAAAGTTTCATGTAGCGTATTAATTATATAGATTTATCAATTAAATCCAGTGTTGCTGAATTTTGTGTCATTTTAGATTTTGGTTTTCTTTTCTTAAAGTTATATTTGAGTCTTCTGAGTCTGACATTGTAATGTAAGATATATATATACACATCTGTTATTCAGTTCATTGGTTCTTTACCGCTGCCTCCATGTTGTGCCCTTAATATACTAAATTAAAAACAAAAAACCATTTTGTGAGCAAACTTCTTCCATTGTACAGTAGACTCCCTCTTACCGGACTCCTCGGGACCGAGGCCAGTCCGGATAACGGTTTTCTGGATATGATTATTACGTATTTAGACACGTGATCACTGGTCTCAAATCTTTCCCACGAGAACAGTCGTTTCAGTACCGTCCACTTCCTGCCGATCTAGTCCAGTTAAACCGATGTGCTGATAAAAATTGTCTGGTTAAAGAGATGTCATTTCCGCCGGTTAAAAGGTGTCTGGATAAGAGGGAGTGTACGGTTTTTCAAATCATAAAGTAAACATAAAACAATAATCCCTATATAAAATCAGGTGACAACCAAGTAAACAAACTATTAATATCACAAATGCAGACTTCAGGACAATTATGAACCTTTTTCTTAAAGTATATATTTTTTTACTGTCAAACTATATACTTGTTTTTTAGACTAGGTATATACTTGTTTTTTGTGAATAGTTAGGAAAATATGCATTTGATAAAGAAAACTTGTGAGGAACAACTTTTTTTCAATAATAAGTAGGTAAACTTTTATGAAAATCGGTGATGTATTGGATAAATACACAGTTTACACTTTTTTACCTTCATTGACTGTACTAATTATTACATTAATTTTATCTACTAAAGAAAAGATTATGTTGTTGAATAATATATATAGATACTTTATTGCCTTGACAATTTGCATTGTATCAACATTAGGCTACAATTAATTATTTCTAATGGTGAGGTGTATGCTTGATTGTGTTGTATATTTATTTAGTAAACACACACACATAACACAATCGTGTTGGATATTTTTTTAAGTTCAGCAAAAGTTCACACTCTTTACTTACGTAAATTACTTAGACATACCTGCTGTAATTTGTGAGGCCACACTGGATTTTCCGCTGCCAAACTTGGCCCAGTCACCAAGGTAGCAGACACCACCGGAAGCCAGCAGTAGAGGACCAGCCTCAAGCCACGTCTCTCCTGCAGTTGCGCCGAGAGTACCACAGAGTGCAGCACTAGTGACAGAGACACAGCGTCGGGACAGCTGACTGGCACAGTACAGCAGAACACTGCAGTCCGGTCCTACTGCCAACAGTGGCACTGGCTTGAGGTCCTCACTCTGAAAAAACAGTAGAATGTAAGTCCTTTGAGAGGAAAAGGGAGCATAAATCCCCGTAAATTCAAAATACTTAACCCTCCGAGTGTCCATAGTTTAGGCCTTAATGTCCACCTATTTTTGGCCCCTTTGCAAGGTTTTATTAAAACGGATCTGAGAAGCTTAAAACAATGTTAATTCTAATGTTCTATATAACATTTTGTTTGGAAAATCATGGGCTTCAATATTATATATAAAACATAAGGAACATTTAAAAAAAAAAAAAATTTTTAGGTAAAAAAAAATATAATTTTGAAAATTTAAAAAAAAAAAATAAGTTCGCGCTCAATGAAATTGTATAAATTATAGGCCTATAAATATTTGGAAATAGCCACTTTGTTCTAAATTTAATGAGGATTACAAATATATAATCATATAGCGAGGTAAGTTATCAAATAAATAAGTTATGAGCGAAAAACGGATTTCAGTACATAGCGTTTAGCTAAGAATGCATAGCCTAACCATAGCTAGGAATCTGGCTGATAATTTACATCAATATCACTACCTACTTCTTCAGGATCATCAACCAGCACTTCAAAACCACTTAAATCTTCTTATAATGCACCACGTATATCACTACTTTTGATTTATATCACTAAAACAATGATAAACGTAATAAAACACATCAGTCATCGGTCCGGGGGAACCTAGCTGTTTACAAATACACGCACGTCAGCTGTCTGCTACAATATTTTCGGAACTAAAATGAATAGCGCTTAGAGACAGACCCCTGCAGAAAGCTTAGAATATTACGGAAAGAACGATACCTAACTCGATCCAGTTCAATCCGATTCAGTCAGTCATAGAGCCTTCGCCGTAAACGATGTTTGTGCGTCTTAAAAGCGACGCGTGACCCTACACAAAGTGTGTTGTGCGTCGTTTTTATGACGCGTGACACTCGGAGGGTTAATAATTACTAGTTATTTTACAAACTGTCATAGATATGTTCCTAAATTTTTCTAAATACATTTCACAGAATCTCAGGCTAAATTTTCATTTTGCTTTTGTTTATTTTTGTTATTGGCACATTGGAAGCAGTAGTATTAACGTAAGTATAATGATGGTTTATAGATTTTTACTCAATGTTAGTAGTTAGTTATCCTATACTCTTATATGAGCAATGTTTTCTTGTATGCTTGCTTGCACAAAGATCTCGAAAACTGCTTTGACGATTTTCTTCAAATGTTGTAAACAATTGATTTCTAGCCTAAAAACATGTTTAATGCAGTTAAAACTGCCAACAAAAATCTAATTACAAAGAAAAATGAAATTGAAAGTCAAAACTTTTTAACATTGGCCTTATGGGTTGCTAAGTAACCATGTTGGTTGAACAAAATAACAAGGAAAAAGTAAACAAAAGACTTGTAAGTTGTAACATGTCTTTATAATTAGCCATCGACCCACAGTATACTAGTAAAAGACAAAATACAGTGCAAAAGGAAAAACATCAGTTGTTACTATTGAGCAAAGATTACACTGAAGATAACTCAATATAAGTGAAAATAGTTCCAAGTCCGATCAAGTACTGATTATTTAACTTGGCTCTCTCCTACCAAAACTTAATCCAAAAAGTAATCAGCTGTTTTAATTTAAACGAAATGTCTAAACAATGTTTATGCAAGTATAGGATATTATAAACGAGCGACCTTTCATCGACTGTAAAATAAATGAATGTCATGAGGATTGCCAGGCTAAAATTTCCATCATAATAAATTTAAATTCCACTGAAATTTAAATAATAAAAGCCAAAATTAGTTGTAAATTAAACGTGAGTTTAATTTATATATTGCTTTTACGATAAAAATAAACCACACCAAGCCATGGCTCGGTCCCCAGGTACTAAATATGTAAAGCACTTAGATCAGCTTGATAACCTCTAAAGAGTAATGAGTAGGGTGCATTAAACAAACTGGTACCTACTGTGTAATCATATATACAATTTAGTTTATACTTGCGCAACTATTCAATTCAATGAATTCAACTACCACTGAGATAGGGACGCAAGCTAGATGCATATTTTAACCCAAATACTAAATGTTATGTATCACACACAACAATATATTTCCATTCCAACCTTGGGTAGAATATAGCCCTCTGAACTAATTAGGTAGCAGCGCCTTCCACACTCCTAGCCAAGTTCCTGCCCAAGCCCAATCTGTTCTTGCTAAAGCATATAGAATTTATTGAGATTAAAGACGGTGACACACTATCGATCTTTTCCCCGAACAAGACGCCGAACCGAGCAGGGAGAAGGGAGAAGGGAGGTCGAAGGGAGCATGTTCGATAGTGTGTCAGGGGTCCGTACACCGATCCAGATGGCGAACCAGACATCAGGCCGAGCAGGGAGACGAGCGCTCTGGAGGCGGTTTTTTGGTGAAAGATCAAAGAAAAGAACGGTCTGATGTACGGAGTGATGTACGATACTCGTAGTGTGTCACGGTACCCTTTTGCTCCGTACGCCGTCGCGAGCGCCGCACCGAGCGGCCGCCTGTGCTAGCGTTGAGTTATAATTTAATATGACAATTAGACCCTTTAATTGGTAAAATTAATAAATGTTGGGTAATATGTTGCCGTTATATATTATGATCATTAAAGATGTAATGTTGTGGTTTGTTTGGTCAAGGTTGAAAATGTAGAAACCGTTAAATCAATTATATCAATAATATTAAAGTGAATTAAGTAATTTATGTTGTCTTAAATTCTTTCAAAAATTAATATAAACATTAATATTATTAAAGGCAATTAAAATGATAATTCTGTATCGTTATTTCAATGAATGAAACCAATAAAAATCAATACATATAAGTAAGCATCCTTTCTAGAATATTTTATTTTTGCGACAAGTTTTCAAAAAGCGACTTTTAACGCCCTCTCACTCGCACACACTCTCCATCTCTCTCTAAACTCCCTTTTGCCGTGCTCGGTAGAATTCGTCTGGTCTTGGTCTTGTTCGGGGAAATGTTGGGAGTGAAATTTTGCTGATATTTATCTCCCTTCTCCCTTCTCCCTGCTCGGCTCGGGGTCTTGATCGGGGAAAAGATCGATAGTGTGTCACCACCTTAAGACTCCTCACTTAGATCAGATGCAAAAATGTTTCAACCCAAGGTTACCTATGAAATGATCTTGTATACCTGGGATGCTAAACTCAGAAGTAGTCCAGTTTTCAGTTGTAGGAAGGATTTGTCTGGATAGCGATGTGAGGCAATTTGAGAGGAAAGGGTTGCTGTGAGGGCCCAGGGGGAGTTAGGACAAACCTCCCTACAAGAATGGAACATTAGAATATCACAATACAGTATATACATTTTATCTGACAAAACACAAGATACAGTAAAGTTAATTTGTATTATGGCATAAATATCTTTCTATTCATTGCCCTTGGAAACACTGTTGTCAAAACAGATATTATAGAATAAAAGAAATATAAAGCAAAATGCAAAAAAATATCCAAATATCAAAATTTTAACTAATTTATTAAATAAAACAGATTTTTTTTTAATTAGGAAAATTCACAAACCTCTTTTGGAATTTAGAATATCAAACTGTACAGAGCATGTTGTGTCGAAGTAAAGACAGGGATTTGCATGTGACACACTTTATGCTCGCGAGATATCTGTGACCCGCCTCCTTTGATATGAATCATCCAATAAAATTACCCCCTAGAGCCATAGAAATTTGACACACGCACTCGTAACATTTAAAAATGGCAAATTTTTGATAAACGATCAAATTGATTGAGCTTTTTTTAGCGAATTTCCCTATAGGGACGTAGCTATTACCGTAGGTCACATGGTAAGACCTAGGCCCGGGACCGATTTAGTTTTTTATTTTGATAAATATAAAAAATTGGTCCTCAGAGGCCAAAAACACTATTTGTTCAAATTTGTATATATGTGTGTGTGTATATATGTATATATATTTCTTGATGAAAATGCCAAATGACTTGTATATTGTTCTTGAGGATTTCTTGAAAGAATGATGAAAAATGAAACATGTGTGAATTTTTGTTTAATACAAAAGTTTTCAAGCAGAGAGAAATTGATGAAAAATGTAAAAATGAACAAAACAAATAAATATGAACAGTTTACAAGTAGTTGAATTTTGAGAACATATGATTGAGTACAGATCAAAGAAAAATAAGAATAGCCTACTTTTTAATACTTAAATACTTTTCTTTGAAATGGCGACCATACCAAGTAAGTATTTTAAGCCAATTATGAATGGAGATGAGTGTAGGATGAGTGGCACAATCTTGTAGTCTTGTTAGTGACTAAGGCCGACATTCCTTAGACACAGCTGTTAATTAATAGCCCATATAGCTAATGGCAACTAAGGGACCTACAGTTTATAGTGGAATCCGAACCACTTTTTTTCCTTGGTATATACGAATTGGTCTAATTATCAGGATAGTACTGCGGATAGTCGTAGTGCTCACCCGTGCGGACGTTAATCCACACCAGGGAGTATCGCATCCACAGTGCATGCCTATAAATATCCATAATAAGCCTAAAAGAAAATTTAAATTTAGCTGAGTTGAATCACTTTTTTACTATCTTAAATTTAAACCAGAGGGGAACTTTGTTTTAAGTACCAAATGGTGAGCAATTCAGAATTTCTCAAGACCAGTTGGTTGCATATAAGGGTTTTGATGTGGGTTTACTTTGTGAAGGGCTTTAAGGGTGTAGCAGCCTTCAAAATGTTGGTTGTGGTAAGCGGCATGATTTTTTATAGAACAGCTCATTAAACATGGCGAGTTGGTAAATGTTTTCTGAGATTACTGAAACACACATTCACTGCGAAATCGTGATTATCTTTTGGAAGAGACAATTGACATCGTCACTCATAATTGCAGCAAAATTGCTGAGAGATCGAACCTTGGCACAGACCCAGTTCCGAGAAAATACCAGATTAAGTGCAATTCGGTCTGAAAATCTAAAAATATATTTTCCATCATGTTTCCCATAATTTTTGAGACCCAACCATCCCTAATAAATACAGTAATACAAAACTAAATGCAAAAACATATCAATAATAACAAGCCAACTGATAACTATGTGTCTCACAGGATTGGACAAAATAAACTGGCAAAGAAAGACAAAGCCACGATCAAGTACATTATCAAAATCAAGAACAGGAGTTATATCAACAGGTAGGAACCAGGCAGTTAAGAGTGAAAACAGATAGTGGGGAGATTTCCTTTGGAGATAATTTGTTCTATTGCTTACACCCCCAACAAACTTAAAACCTCTTGTACCCCTAGCCCGGGCAAACTAGGCCTAACTAGCTCACATTCTTTGAACAAACTTTTGCATTGGCAAGCTGAATTAAATGTTGTATAGGCTTAGTATGTGGCCGACTCATTTAAGGAGGTTTCATTAGACCAGACAATCATCATCAAAAAAGAACTTGTGACAGCTAGTTGTCCAAGTTATGTCCATGAAGTTGTCCAACAAAGAATTTGACTGAGTGTTTTATAATTTAGAGGTAATCCTTAATTTTATGTTATTTGAATTGTAAAGTTCATTCCAAGCAAATTTATATTTCAGTTATAACCAGTAACCACTTATAACCCTTAAGATAGAATTTCACATAATATGGTTCAATTATTGCTTAAGTAATACTACAAATCATTCAAGCATGACAAAAAAATGTAAATTAAGCTTACATCAAATATTTCTCCAGAGCTCTGATAGTCTGTGGAATTCCCACAGCAGGTAGATTATGATCAAATCGCCACTGAGCTTCAGAAATTGTTCTTTCTATTCCCCAGGCAATGAACCGGGAACATTTGTGACTTACGGTCACATTATAGCATACTCCAAGGGTTAAGTCCTTAATCAGATTATCTGAAACAAACACAAGTAAAATCACAAATTATATGGTTTGATGAAACAAAAATTCTAGATTCAGTGGCGTAGCCAGGTTTGAAGAGCCGTGGAGCAGAAATTGCTCCAGCAGAAACCACCTCCCTCTGTCAAATATCAAACATCACCATACACACACACATATAGTACCATTGACTATAAACCTTCATTTCCTCTTCACAGTCTTTCCGGATGTTTTGTTGATTTTTAAGCCTAAACACAACTATGTCAATTTTCAATTGACAATAAATTATAAATTACATAATAGTATAATTAGTATTTAATATATTTTGGCACTCTATGGTGCTATATTCAGACTGCCTCTAAAGACACTGAGATACGGTCTGAAGATTGAGATATGGTCTGATTGCTAAAATATATCAACTTTAATATGTAGACCTAAATGTAATTTATTGTGAAATAATAGTAGGCAGTGATAGCGGGCATGGGGTGGGGAGGCTCATAAGCTGGGGGGGGGGGGCCTGTGAGCCTGGACCGGCATTTTCAGGAAATCTTACCTGGACCCAGACCCGTGACCAGTGACAGGCCCTGCCATATGGGCCCCCCTATCAAAACAAAATTTATATGAGTATTACTGTTAGTATTTATGATATAAATTTGTTAAAACCTTGAGAGATCTAGCACTGCTGTCGCTTGAGAGAGTTACAAAATCGAGCTCAAGCAGAGCTTTTACGATTGCGATAACATTGCAACCGTAGAACGTGTCTGCGAGGATCACACCCAAGCGAATGAATGATTCACACTTTCACCACGATCGCGGATGTCGATGAGAACATTCCCCCTCGGGTGACTATGATGACGATGTCTCTGCGGCCAAAGGAGATGTTCAATATTTTGCAGCGATAGTGGAAGACAATACTAATGTTTCAGTGACCGTGCGAGATGTTTAAGATTTTGACGCTACTGCAGAAGCCGACGTTTTTTTTTTGCCGGAGGTATTTTGAATTTTACCTGATTGCAGAAAAAGATTATGTTTCCGTCACCGCGGGAGATATTAGGGATTTGGCCGTGATCGCAGGAGATGATGATGTCGTCTACATGACCACACAGAAGATGTCCTGAGTTTGGTTGCAATCACGGTAGATAATGTTTCTGACTGCAGGAAGTATTCATGATTTTTATTACAGTCACTGAGGACGATGCTAATATTCAGATCCTATGAAGATATTCAGGATTTTTCCGCGATCATGGAAGACGATGATGACGCCTCGGTGCGTCGGGAGATGCTTTGCTGATCCCAAGTGCAAGCTTATGTGGAAACCCAGGATAATATTTTTAAAGATTATTGGGAGAGAGGGGCCTGGTGAAAAAATTTGTGGGTTCTTATCACCACCACTGTATTTACCGTCTTGTGAGTCGACAGTAGTAAGTGTAAATATATTGTTAAAAGTGTTATTAGACGTATATCTTTTAATTTTTTTCAGTTAATTCAATAACACGTACGATGCTAATCGAGAAGTTTTTCACTGATCATTTGTGAACGACATTAAAGATGCAATATGTATCACTCCTCCAACACAATAATAAATAGGCCTACATATTTTGTTACTTGAATCCTCTTACATTGCAAATTAAATGTCGATATTTAAAGGGCTATGTTTCTATTGAAATATAACACGATGATAAAAACAAACAAAATATGTTAGTAATAATAGGATAGTATTACTTTGTTGAAACTAGCAGACAACTTTTTATAGCTATAATAATGAACTGCTGATGTCGGCTTTACCTAGATTCTCTTAAGTCCACAATGGAGAATATGAACTGCTCTAGCCCCCAACGCTATATATATAGTACAGTGTTGCAGTATTGAAAACAGTCGGTTTTTCTGAAGTATGACAAAAAACTTAACCTAACCCACAAGAAAAATTTGTTTTACAAATATCTCAAAAACTGTATTTCAAATATTGTAAACACCAAAAACCAATCAACAAAACAATAACAAAGGAATATATATATTACTTTGTAATCTTAAAATTTTAATATTTTTTTATAATTGGAATTAAGTCGAGTGTTGTTTGAAAGATACACAGTTTTTCATAATTAAAACTCCTAAATAAAAATAATTGTTTACATTGTATTCAATTGCAATACAAATGTAGCTTGCCATTCACTAAACAAGACTGATCACTAACTAGGAACGTGTGTAATATTCATAGGAGGACAAGTGGACCCCTAGCCAACACAGTGGTAGATCTAGAAACAGTCACAAGGGAGGGTGCCCAAAACATTTGTGTAAACTAAGTCTCGAAAATGGCAGTTTTATATAATTTCTTTGTCTAAAGTTAGTGTGACAAATTATTTTACTCAATGTGTATACTGTATTACCTAGATGCAGTAAAATATATATATATGTATGCCCGAGGGGGGGGCCGTCGCCCCCTTTGCCCCCCCTCTGGATCCGCCACTGAGCCAACGATACCTCACACTTAGTTTCGCACACGAAAAAAAACATTTGCACTAAGTTTTGCAATTTCTTTCCAAACAATTTTGTAGAGCTTAAAAAACAAATAATTTAGTATATTAAAGCGATATTATGCACCTAATAGTTATGCAGAAAATTCCAAAAAATGGTAAATTTAATATTCTCATGTTATTCTTATGGAGAATAAGTAAACCGTTGTAGTTTGCTTGTTTATGAACATATTTTGATCAAATTTGGAAAATAAATTTTATTTCTTACTAAACTATTAACATTTTACAAAAAAATATACTTTTACCCTCCCTGTTGCAGCAAATCTAAGTACTTATTAAACTAATTCTATTTAAATAGGGAATAAATGTGATATTTTTAAGGAGACATTTAAGTGTAAATCTAATCAGGCAAATGGAAATTTGCTTAGTCTGCAGGTTTGCTGCAGCAGGGGTATATAATATTGAACACAAAGTGCTAACACTTTGTACACTTAATAGTTCTGAAATGATAAGTAAATAATTATAAATGAAAAATTCTAAGTCCAAGTATAAATAAACCAAAGACTGAAGTGAAAAGTACAAATATACAAATTATTTAAATAGGTACTGAATTAATTTATAATCCAGGTTCCACCAGTCCTTTCATCAGTCAGTTCAAGTTGGTCACAAATGTTCAAATAGTGACAAGAAAATCTAGTTTAAGCAGATTCGAACAGCTATAAGTGCATAAATCGAGATTATGGCCGGTGCATTTCTGATTTATTTTACAGAGGTAAAACGGTTAGTGTCCAGCAGAAATTTGAAAGTAAAAATTTAAAATTAGCAAGTACTTTTACAGACAAAACTTGACCGAACCTTAGTTACCTTTTAGTGAAACTGTGATTCCTTCATTTCGGTGAAAGTTCACCTGGAAGGCATCTAAATTTACAAATACAGCTAAGACTTGATCTCCGTTCTCTCTGGCTCGTAAGTATTCCTCTTTGCTACAGCCGCAATAGCAGCAGATGCTGCCGGCAGACTTTTCTCCGAATACTCTTTCTCCAGTATGACCTGAACAGCTCTTTAGTGGACATTGGTACACTGCACTTCGACTGCAAAAAATATGGCTTTATTCTACAAAATTGCAATTTTACTACCAATCTTAAAGATTAACTTTAAATAAGTTAATAAAATCAGTATTGATTTTATTTGTAGATGGTAGAGGAGTAATTAAATAATTTTTAGATTAAATTTATTTAAAAACCATAATATAAAACTTCTATAATTTAAATTACAAATAACTTATAAGGTCAATTTAATCTTTATGATGACTTTGGTATTATTGGACATAAGATTGAAATGAGTTGTAAAATATTTAACCCCGAACTATTTTATTGACGCACCAGTACTTTGTTGGTTTTGTGCAGGACACTAGGACTCCTCGGAAAACAAATAACCCAGATGATGTAGGAGAGCATCTTTTTGAAAACAGCATGATATCTTTTATCAGGGGAATTGTGACTTCTATATTTATCTGAGCTAGGCCAACATTCACGTTATCTTGAATTTTCATTGATTTGACTGCTAAATTTACAACTTTATTGAATAGTTGCTGTGCCAGATATGGTTCTTTCAACAATATTGCGGCAACTTTTCCTGAAACAGTTGTCCCATGCATTATAAAATATTTATGAAATACAAATAAACATGTAAAAGCTGCCTTCACAATATAGAAAGTGTTAACAAATTCCACAATCAAAGCAGATTAAGGAACGCGGCAGCGTTCCGCCCCGCCAAGTCCCCCAGCGGTACACAGCTGCTGCAGTGTATATATACTTGACGTGACAAAGTGGCTTTTTCACTCGTCTATAGCTCTGAAGAAACAAAAGCTATTAAAATAATTGTTCATCTATTGGATAGGGGCACTCATCCTCAACAAAATAAAAAAAAGAATTTAAAAAACTGTTGTGTTTGAGCCAAGAAAAACTAGTTTGAAAATTCACAAATTTTCCGTGTTCTCCTTCTCCTCCTTCTCCTTCTCCTTGAATGTTGACGGACCTACAGCCCAAACCACTGGCTCAATTTTAATGTTCTTTATGTTGTTTGAAAGCCCTTAACGTGTAGATGTGCCTTTTGAGGGTCTCAAGTCGGTGAGTTGAACCATAAACCCTTGGCAAGCCCTCAAAGTACGATTTTGGCCCATTTAAATAACATGGGATTAAAATCAAAACAAAAGAAGGACCAGCTGCGATTAAATCTCAATTAATTTAAATGTTAGAGAAATTCATAGGAACAGCTGAAAAATTATTTTAAAACTTTCATAAAGTATTTTTTCAGGTATACCGAATGATTTGAACTACTTACTATATAAAATTACTTAGAGCAGTGATATTCCCCGATACTTTCCATTGAAAAATGCAGTGTACCGATGGTACACTGGTACAGCAGTTCGTCATTTTTAACAGTTTAATACTACTTATCAAAACATATGAAACCTAGTAACTTGAAACTTAGTACTAGTACTAAGGTTTGTTTTATGTTTTGATACACTAAAACAAATAAAAGAATCGGGAAAGTCACTTTACGTATGTTAAACCAGCAATTAAAATGTAAATATAGGATTAATTAGTTTTTCAATATTCGTTTTGCCTTATGCTATTTCCAACAAACCTAAACTGTTTGATTACATTTTTACTTCTATAATAAGGGCTCAATTTACACTAGTCTTTAGATATACGGGTTTAATTATCAGAACACTTATGTAACACCAACGCATTTTATGTTGTTCAAGATGAACATTGCTGAATTTACAGCCCCAGACACAGAACCTATATTAATGGATGATGACTAGATTATACAGTTTCAAAGTGTGTGTTTAGTTTAAAATAAACATATTCTTGACAAAATCATAAATAGAAACAACCACCCTGTTGACTATACGTTTAACACATGTTTTCAAAAACTTCCAACGTAGCAATTTTTGTTAAATAGTAATTTTGGTAGGTGTGTCAAAAAGTTTTTAATTGGTTTATAGCAGATAAGACCAAAAAATGTAGAATTTAGTTCTACACAAACAATATTATTGAAATGAAATGAGATGTAGTTGTGCCGTGGTCTATATATTTCACCCAAACTATTTATAACCATTTTTAATTACCAGCTGTAAATAAAAAAAATTTGATGTCTTGTTTATTTTTACAAAAAGAGCAGCATTGTTTATGTTTAGTGAAGAGATCTAGTTCAAGAACATTGAGATGATTGAGAACATTTCTTAGGATCATTTGGTAAGATACCACGTCCATGTTTTAATTGCATTTACTTTCTTTCTAATCTAACATCAGTATGCCTTCTAAAGAAAGACTGGCAAGAAAAAGAAAACAAGAATGGTATTTAGAAAACGCCCCTGCTATAAAAAAAAGAAAAACAGAAGAAGCTAGCATACAATCCACTAATAAGAGTTCTACTTCTAAAGCTTGGTACCTTGAACATGTTAAAGGAGAAAAATCCAAAGCCAGAAAACGTTATCTAGCTAATATTGAAACTGAGAGGTTAAGAAAAAGTGTGCAGTACAGTGCTAATCCTGAACCTCACAGAGCTAGGTTGCGGCAGCAATATTCTGCTAATCCTGAGCCACACAAGGCTAGGAAGCGTCAGCAGTATTCTACTGATCCTGAGCCACACAAGACTAGAGTGCGTCAGCAGTATTCTACTGATCCTGAGCCACACAAGGCTAGGAAGCGTCAGCAGTATTCTACTGATCCTGAGCCACACAAGACTAGGAAGCGTCAGCAGTATTCTACTGATCCTGAGCCACACAAGGCTAGAGTGCGTCAGAAATACTCTACTGATCCAGAATATTATAAAGCTAAACAACGTTTAAACTACGGTGCAAAACAAGAAATGAAACAATCTAATCGCAGGAGACGTTACAAAGTACTTTGTGCAAAACACCCTGGCCACTTTCGCTTGCGATATAAACTTAAGGTTTTTCACGAAAGGGTGCGAAAGTGTGCAGCCTATCAAAGCAGACGCTTTTTTTTTAGAAATAGATCTGATGGGAAAAGAAAATCATTACAAAATGCAAAAAGGAAAATTAAAAAAACTGTTGCAGCTTCACATATTTTCTTGGGGAAAATAAATTGTGAGAAAATAGCCAGACTTATAGCAAAGAAAATACTTGAGCAAGGTTATACCAAAAGGTTGCTAAGGGCTAAAGAGCTCTTGAAATGGGTGTTGCATGCTTATAAAAATTACAAAAACAATTTCCTTAAGCTATTTGTTAGCCTGCAAAATCGTGCTAAAGAGTCTCTTGCTAAGCTATCTGCAACAAGCACGTTTGAAGACAATGTTGAGGCGTTGTGTGGGCACAGTCTTCATGTTTCCACGTCGGAGCCTTATTTGTGGGAGTTTACGTATAGAGTGTTTCCTGGTAAACAAATAACTGTTGGTAATGAGCCCAGCACAGCTCATAGTTCTCCAAAGAAACAGTGGAAATGCAACTCAGATATGTGCTTCATTGAGCCTGACCACTTAGAGCAACTTAAATCTCTTTACAATGAAATAGTTGCCAGCTCTCTCACTAAAGGTTCTAAGCTTATTGTCAGCATGGGAGAGCACTCATGTCAAAGTGGTGTATCATCTCGTGTAGGTGTTCATCCTCACTCTTTGGACTGTTACTCAGGAGCATGTGTTTCGAAACTTCCTTTTCTGAGAACAATCTATCCTCACTTTCCTGCAATTCGTAGTCTTGTCTCCAAAATTTACCGACTGTTGAAAATAACTAAGAAGATTATGCTAATTAAAAATGGTATTCTTAACGTGCAGGTGAACGTGTTGTTTTCGATAGAAAGGGAATTTAAAGAGCAAACAAAAGCCTTTCTTACAGATGACACAAGTGAAAGCAAGGTCCCTGAATCTGAGTCTCAGTTGTTCGAAAAATATCAAAAAGCATTTGAGGCATTGGAGAAGCGTTCTTCTGAAACCCCAGTGTTTCCCTGTGTCTCATGCGATAAGTTGTTTAGTAAGCAGCAAGTAAGCCTTTTGAAAAACCTAAAAAATCAAATTGTAGGACACATATGGAAAAGAATAAAAGACATAAAGAAAGAAGAGTGCAAAACAGGATGGATTTGTCGGGGCTGCCTCGAAAAACTAAGGAAAGGTCAGATGCCTCCTACTTGCATTCTTAACGATCTCTATGTTTGTGCGCAGCCGAAAGAGCTAACTTGCCTTAACAGTTATGAAAAAGTTTTAATTCAGAGAGCCAAAGCATTTCAGGTTGTTACAAAAATGAACACAGTTGGGAAAAGAACAAGTCGAGCTCAGCAACAAATTTCTAAAGTCGTTGGAAGAAGTTTTCATTTGCCACTACCCCTTCAAGAAACCCTGCAAAAATTGCCCAAACCAAGTGACCCTCTGAATCCAAACCACGAGCTGTACGTTTTGGTCAGAGGGGTACCGACCAAAGCAAAGAAAGTTTGGCAAATGTTGGTTAGTGTGGATAAGGTACACGCAGCCTTAATTTTCTTAAAGAAAAACAACGCTCATTATGGTAGCATCGTACTACCTACAGATCCAGAAGGACTCTTCAACCTTAATGATGACACAAATTTGTTTCAATCTACCCATCAAAACGAACTGCCACCTCAGGAAATACTACATAGACGTGCTATATTAACTCAGGTAACTCACGAGGAATGGGATTCAGAAGAGTCTCACTATACAATCCACGCTCTTCATGAGTCAAAATCTTATAGTGATGACACCGAGCTCTATAAGATGCTGAAAGTGAATGAACCTCCGATTAGTCATGAAAACAAAGAGATTGACGTGCTTTGTTTCCCTGATTTGTATCCCGAAGGTAAATTTGGCCAGTTTCATTCCAGAGAAACTAAACTCTCTTCTGCTGAATTTATCAAATGTCGGTTGCTTTCAAAGCATTCTCAGTTCAGACTGAATCAGCAGTACCTTTTTTATTTGCTGCACGATGCAAACCTTCGGCAGTTAAGACAAGGAGTATTCCACAAGCTCAACGTCACTGGATTCAGTGGCTCTCTTAGTGCTAGAGACTGTTTGAACAACCTTGCATCGGGAGAATTAGAGGGGAACCTGACAT